GCTTTATTTTATAAAGCATAAAAAATATAGAGGTTTTGTGACTTACACTCTTCCAAAGATTTTTTTTATTTCAGGCCGCACTTTATCGTCGTGCCCAGAAGCTTATTCGTTAACTTATGGTCACGGGAGGCTTCAACTAGGTAAACTTAATTCTCCTTAGCGACAAGTTTCCCCTGTGGCCCTCAGGCACATAGTCAGATTCAAACCCAAATAATCTTCATTCCATAGGTAAGAAAACTCACTTGATATCGTCACAACTCTACTTACAAATTCCCATGAGAAAAATGAATAAAACAACAAAAACACTAGCGGCTGAAAATAGGCATTTATATGTACCTTTATAATTTACAATATTTATTATACAAACAACTTGGAAGAACAACCTAAACAGGCCACGACGATGAATTTTTGTCATTCAAACACGGTTTCCAAAGCAAAAGGTACATAGCTATAGCACTGTCAGAGGCTGGCGCGTATTGAAAGCCTTTCGCTGATCTCGACTGCTGTGGTAGAAGTGCCCGCGTCACCAATGCTTATATGGACATGGTAGAGAACAGTAGTGCTAGCAATATCTCGCGCTTCTATGTCGCTCTCCACACAGGTCTCATCTCAACGTATTTACTATAATTGTAACTTTTTATTAAAAAAAAACCACGTGGAATTACATCTATTTGCCAAGTTTCATTGAAATTGGTTACCGGAAAGTGCGCGAAACCGGCCACTTTCAGAGGTGGAATATTTTCATCAAATTTAATTAAATGAGACTAATACTGAGGTACCTACCCTCTTTCCAACAAAAAAGAATCATCAAAATCGGTTCACAAATGCCGTTAAATTAGAGTTAATCGCGTAACATACACACACAAAAAATATTGTTGTTTTGATGATATCGTGAAGTCGTACGCTCAGGGCAAAGAGCCACCAGTGCATCCGTCACACAGAATATGGAGGCAAAAGTTGACAAATCATCTTGTGCCTCTAATTTCACCAGCACCCTTCATGTCGGGTCACAGAAATACACTACTACTTGGCGGCAGAAATTGGTACTTGGTAATACTACAAAGAGGTCTAGTGCGATTAATTTTGTTATATTATTATTTTTAGTAGCAGAGTTCCTTATGAAAGAGTTCGTCTAGGAAAGTACAGCCACCTTACCTATTTTTGCCGTCAAACCGTAATATGTACATACTGCGATCCGGTTTTGAAGGGTAAGGATGCTGGTGTGATTACAGGCACATGGAACTCGGAACTTATGTCTCAGGGTGACGGGCGAAGTCGCATTGTGTAACGCGAGCGAAACTAACAAAATAACTATTTATTTAGCAAAATGCCAATTTTTAGATTTTTATCGTGAACAAGGTCAGAATTTTAGTCGAAAACAAAATTGTTAGCCAACCGGAAAACGGAAACGAGAGACAAAGGGTGACATCACGTCTGAGTGTAGTGATCTCTTTACACGCAGTACATTAACACACATTAAAATTGTATCAACAGCCAAAAATATACGTAAACAATTTATGTGTAATCGTATTTTAATTATAGACAATAAAATCCTAATATCACTTTGAAAAGTAATGTTTCCGTGTTTGTTGCATAGTGATATTTGGTTCAGTTCTCAATGAACTCATTTTAAATAGAATCAATAAAAAATAAACGCTAAATATTATATACTATTATAATACCATAAATTGATGGTTTAAAAGTAAAACTCACATAAAAGCCAAATTGACTCATGGAGGTAATTAAAATTTTGTGTTTACTTGGATTATAATGTTACTGTATCTACAGATTTTTCTGAAATGTACTTTTATAATAAAAGTTAGTAAATTTTTCTCTTATCGTATATGTTCTTGTCAATGAAACAAAAATAAAAAAACCATTTTTCATCAAAATGCTACTTTTTACCGTTCAACCGATGAAATGATTAAAAAAGATATAATTCACCTTGATGACTTACTGAGTGAGTCAGTAAAGTATAGATATTTTAAGACCACTCTAGTTTACTGCATCATAAACTAGCAAATCACTAAACGGCGGTTTATATTTATTAGCTCTATTTAATCAATATTAAATTAATTATTAGTGAATAGTTGATTAAAAAAACTGTAACACATTGTAATGAAAGCTAAAATCGGCTGCACTTATGACTTCTAGAACATGGTTATTGTCATTTACATGGTTTCAAACAAGAAGCAATGCGGAGCAGAACAGACTCTTTTAGAACGAGATATTTTTGTATATGTCTCTTTATACACAGTTCATTAAAATACACATTTAAGTTGTGCCAATTGCTAAATACACGTTATTATAGTTTTTTTTATTTTGTACCCTTGCCACATGGCACATGTGACCTTACACCAAAAAGTGATTTTGTCACTTGAAAGTCATAAAAATAATACGAACTACTTGAAACAAATTATATGTATGGAAGTTTGTAAATTAAAATTGAACTATTCCATTTTATTTTCTTCCGTAATTTTTATTGTGCATTTATAATGCTGGGACCGCACTTGCTCAATCGGAGTGTGTTTTTTGACCTGAAAAACGGGCATGCTTTCTTTATTCGCCTATTCGACGGAGAAAGTCATCCTGAAACCAAGAATGGATCTCCCGTGTGTCAATTTCGTATATATTTTTTTATTAATGAAGATATAATTTTTTATGGTTTCCATAAAAACCATAGAAGTCGTTACATCCATTTCTCTTTGTATTTGTATAACAGCTTAAATGAGGCACATTACAATAAGATTTTTCTCTTGAAGAATTGGAATTTTGCAGAAGAGTGCAAATTAGAGATAATGTAGTAATAGCCATATAAAATAGACAATCTACTAAAAATGCCGTCCAAGTAGTACATTATGGAAACTAGTCTATTTAAAGGAAAACCGATCGCATTATAGTCGTAGTTTTTATAAAGGAAACTTCGTCGAACAATGTGGTAGACCGACGATGTTTTGATTCGTCATTACGAAACATTATTTTCATAATAAATCGGTTTTTTATTCCCCGTCGTGAACAATAGATCAATGCCATACATTTAACATCAGTCTTCTTCTTTGACGTGGAATTAAATGAATTGTTTTAAACAACAACATGAAAAATTTAGGATCAAAATCGTGTATATAGCAGCCTTAGAGCTCCTTGAGAAAGAGTAGACTTGTCAACTTGTGTCTCAGGGTGACGGGTGCAGTAGAGGTGACCCCAGATCTTTATGATTCATCATGATTTAAAGCTCTGAGTAACACTGCAACTGTTATGGGTAGGTATGTGGCTTACTTATATATACAAATACAGACCAAGTGACGGAACGGACAAGTCGTGGGAAGACTAAGATGGTAAAGTCATCAAAGTTATCCACCAGTTATGTCTGATATTAATGCAAACCACTCTATTCTGAACCATAGCTACAAAAGTATTAATTTAAACACCTTGTTTTCAATTTACCAATTAATATTCCAATTTACGCTACATACATTTTGAAACACACTTCTTAATAATAAAAAAAATTGCTTGGGGAGAATCGTAACCAGAAGTGGGAAGTATAGACTGACAATGATGGTGATACCCCTTGCAATAATTAAAATCACCTAAGCACATTATCTTAGTTAATCGTGCAAAGGCCACGTACGAGTATTTTGCACGTTGTAAGGCAATAATATAAAATGCTTAGTATTCCTTATATTTAATTAGTACGAGTTTCTACGGTAACAGTTTCTACTTGTATATATTTTTTGTAATAATCGAGTAATAATTCACTTTTAAGCTACTGCTCGTTCACTACGCTGACTTATCTGAGAAGAACGACCAAGAAACCCTAGGGATTGCTCTTTTAGAATAAATTTAAATGCTATGGAATACACTTTGAATCAAATTTGTGTGGAATCTACAGCCGTGTCGTCTTTTCATGCATCTTTATTTTTGTATATATAACTAAAATATTTTTGTAATGTAGATTTTAAACTTAGTAAATGATAATCTTAATATATGCTCCGGAATCTTATTGTAAAAACGTATACACTACAGTAAGGCTGCCTTTCCATCAGAGATGTGCGACGTAGCGACGCAGTGTGCGAGGAAAACATCCACCAATAGGATTACTTCATTTTCCTAGCCTCGCTTAAAGCAACTCCGGTGGAAATGGTTTGCGGAGCTAAGTATTTGTATGTACAAAATAGCGAGAGATGTGTGCGAGGGATACGGGTGAGGAATATGTCCAAAACGGTGTAGGTAACTAGAGCTACTGAAAGTATGACACTAACTGACATTGACACATCGCCACCGCAGACCCCACCACACCATACCCCGCCCGCGCAAAGCTGAAAAGAGTTCATAACGCATCCACTCACCGCCTCTCTACCTCGCACATCTCCGGTGACAAGGCAGCCTAAACGTATACAAACGCCTACACAAAACACAGTGCCCCAAATACTACTGAAACTAACGGGCAACAGCGAAGGCAGCATACTAACAGTAAATCTCCTCGGTTTTAGTCCTTACATAACTGGCATACCATCTGGTCGGGACTTGTGGTATCCGTGAAGATATCCTCCAACTCAAAAAATCTCAAAAATCAAAGGTTTGGATTTAAAATAACTTGTGAATTTTTTTTGTTTTTTATTCAAATGTAAGTGTGCATTTGACCTCCATCTCTGATTGAAAGTGACGATGAGGTCGATGATGGAGCATGTACACTTAAATAATGCCTTTTCATTCTCGCCTCGAAAAGGCCCAAGTTACAACGTTCAGGGAACAATTCCACTCCATAGCCGTTTGCCATATAAATGTGGAAACATAAAGCTTTGTGCGAATCTTTGGAATATCCACAACATAGGGGTGGAATCCAAGCCTACGCCTAGTCCCCGATGCCGGAAAGGGGAAGGCGGAATTAAATCGTGTAATTCCAACGCAACCTCTCCCCGATACATATCCTGTAAAATACCGATAAGCAGGTAACTTCACGGCGGTGTTCAAGGCTCTGCATCTAATTACTAAACACTAACCTGATATTTTTTTATGGCCAGCTGGTCCTTGTTATCGTAAGGGGGTCTCGGCGGTGCATCTCTAGTCTGCTCTCTTGGTGGTACCGCTGGCGCGCCAGTCTTGGCTGTACCGTTCACCTGCTGGGTAGCAAAATTTTGAGATGAGTTATAAGAATTATTAGCCTGTATGCCAGTTTTGGGAAATTCAGAGGTAAAGGCATAATTGCTAACTACTTAAAAGTCTTCGACGTGTAATGTATCCACAATTTCAACCTTTAAACCCCAAATAGTAGTATAGTCGACTTAAAGATATTCTGGATAGATTATAGGCATCTCCAAAATAGGAAGAGATCTTGATATCGGAATTTGATTTAGTTGTTTGACAATTGCAATGTCACATCACTTTTTAACCGACTCCAAACAATTTCCTCAATTCAAAAGGTTCTCAATTCGACTGTAATTTCTTTTGTTGTATGTTTGTTACGCGATAAGTCGTGAAGTGATGATGTGTGAACCGGTTTTTATCCTTCAGTTTTTATTGGTCCCATGTAAATTTAAAGAAAATATTCCACTTCTAAGGGTTGCAAACTACGCGCAATCTCTGGTAACCGATTTTAATAAAACTTGGCAAATAGATGTGATTCAACGAACGTTTGAGATCGGCTTTTTAGTACTCTAGATAATTTTCTGCAAATGGACACGACATAGGACATCTGGACATTATCAAATCTCCGCATTTAAAGTGACTGCTTTTATCCATCTTTAGGCGCATCGAGTATATAACCAGAAATAGAGGCAAAATATCAATTAATTTGTTTGAAAACTATTCTGCCATATCATTACTGTGACAACTGCGCTCCGATTGGCTTGCCTGAGTTCGAAACAATTGACGGGTCGTCAATGGATGTCGTCAACTGTTTCACTTCAAATCGACCAGTTAACTAGAGCTTTGCTATAACGGGCGAAAATTGTAAAATTACACATTTAATAAACATTAATTACCGATGAAATTTGATTCCGTTTATTTTGTAATTAGATGTTTTGCTGTTTTTCCCACACCACCGAATAGAACAGCACGGCATTGTTAGAGAAATTATCTTTATTACAATAAACACAGAATATTTTTTGGAATATACGGAGACGTACACACAGTAGCCCAGTAGCACAGTAGTATGTACAGGCCAGTAGTTGGCCTGTCTATATTTCAGTGCAAACGAGAGTTGATATTTATAAGAGCTGTATCGCTAATGTGTTACCAGGAATATATGGCCCTTATTTCGTCTCTATTTCTGGTTATATACTCGATGGACAGACATGACGCGTATTCTTGACGGAACTTATTTTTTCTGTCAGTTTACACAATAAAAAAGATATTTGTTAATACAGCCAGCGGCAGTAGAGCATTAGAGCTCCTTGTGAAAGAATTCGTCTAGGGAAGTGCAGCCACCTTAACCATTTCTGCTGCCAACCAGTTGTGAGTGCTGGTAAAATTACAGGCACATGAAACTTGTCAACTTTTGTCTCAGGGTAACGGACGCAGTAGTAGTGCCCCTAAAACCTTTGCTTGCTATTTATAGCACTGCAACTGTTATGGATAGGCGTATCGCTTACCACCAGGTGCACGACTTATTCGCCCCGTCCATCGAGTATATAACCAGGAACAGAGACAAAATAACGCCATCCATCCCTGGCAACTCGTCAGGTAAATGGGCCTTATATCACTATTTGCGCTGAAATCACAAATGAGAAAACTGAAATAGTACAGCGCCAACAAGTGACCTGTGTGTACGTCTCCATATATTGAAAAAATATTCTGTATTTATTGTCATAAAGATAATATCTCCAACAATGGGTGCTGTTCCATTCGGTGGTGTGTTCAATGTTCGAAACATTTGATAACACCCGTCAATTGTTTCGAATTCGGGCTGGCCCATCGGAGCGCAGTTGTCACAGTAATGATTTGGCGGAATAGTTTTCAAACAAATTAAATGACATTTCTGATTATATACTCGATGGTCCCGTCACTTGATATTATAAAAAAAGACCGTAGACTACAGTACTATTGAACCTTTTGCTTGAGATGGATTCGTTTAGTGTATGTTGGCCATTGACTATAGCTAGTACCTGAATTAGAATTTTCTTGCATTCTTAGTTATTGCATACCCTTACGTATCTACTGGTCCTTTTGTAATTTATACCCACTTCTTTATAAATAAAATTTCACATGCTTTCATAACTATATCTATTACTTACTATTAGTACTTACCACTTACCACACTTAAATAGTATCGGATGTTAAAACTTAGCAATTTTTACACATAACGTATACATAAATAAACTGTACATAGGAAATGAAACTATTTTTCCGGATTTAAATCGCGTATATTTGTTTTTTCAAACAAACCGACGTTTCGGGCACTTTACAGGTCCCATGGTCACGGTTGACTGAGGTGGTACAGTCTTCAACCGGTTATGTCTAATGTTAATGCAAACCACCCTATTTTTGCACTATAGTTACAATAGTTATTAATTAAATATCTTACTTTTAATTTTACAAAGAAAACATTCCAGTTTACGCTGCATTAAGTTTTACAAATTATTTTATGGAATTAATTTTTATTAAGTTCAATTTATTATTAATTATTAATAGAAATTAGAATAAACTAAAACATATTAATTAGTACTGCAGTCTTATGTCTGTTTGGGATTTTTCATCAGAGGTAATACTGGATCCCAAACTGGTGGTACGGAGAAACAATCTTCCCTGTTGAAATTAGGATGTTTTTTAATTTCAATGGCCTCACGCAGCATCCTGGGTAGATAACGGACTTCTTTTGCAAAGACCTGGAGTTTGTCAAACTTTATTGAATGTGTAGGTTTATCCATGACATGCTCGCAGACTGCAGACTGGACAAGTCTGCAGTCCTGACAATTTAATAATAAATTGAACTTAATTCATTCAATAAAATAATTTGCAAAACTTAATTGGAATGTTTTCTTTGTAAAATTAAAAATAAGGTATTTAATTAACTACTATTGCAACAATAGTGAAAAAATAGGGTGGTTTGCATCAATATTAGACATAACTGGTTGAAGACTGTACCAACTCAGTCAACCGTGACCATGGGACCTGTAAAGGGCCCGAAACGTCGGTTTGTTTGAAAAAACAAATATACGCGATTTAAATCCGGAAAAATAGTTTCATTTCCTATGTGTAACAATCGCGAAAACCAAAGAACTCGATATAAACTGTACATATTAACAACCTGAAAATAAATATAAAAATACATTATCCGTAATGGCGGCACTTCACATGGCTATGGTAATCGCTATTGGGTTTAATATACTTGGAAAATATTTGGCGTACAGACAAACATGCAAATATTGACAAATATGACCGTCTCTACACATGGAGCAAATAAGGAGTCAATGTAATGAATATGACCATAGTGTGGGCGGTTGACTTGCGTATTTGCCTATGTGGCTCCTTTGATGTGCGTCGAGGCTCGCATATATAACCAGAAATAGAAACGAAAAAAGGGCCATCCATCCCTGGCAACTCATTGGGCAAATGGGCCTTCTATCACTTTTAAATATCAACTCACGTTTGCGCTGAAATCTCATATTAGAAAGCTGAAATAGTACAGCGCCAACAAGTGACCTGTGTGTAAGTCTCCGTATATTCCAAAAATATTCTGTATTTATTGAAATAAAGATAATAATATATCTCTAACAATGGTGTTCCATTCGGTGGTGTGCGAAAAGTAGCAAAATAATCTAATTACAAAACAAACTGAATCTCATTTCATCGGTAATGAAATATTAAATAAGTAATTTTTAAATTTTCGTACATTATATCAAAGCTCAAGTTAAATTGGTCGATTTGACGTGAAACAATTGACGACACCCGTCAATTGTTTCGAATTCAGGCTGTCGGAGCGCAGTTGTCATCATAATTTGACAGAATAATTTTCAAACAAATTAAATGACATTTCATCTCTATTTCTGGTTATATACACGATGGCGCACGCGGTAACGCGAGTTTGGTATTTGCTATATTTGTCGAATAGGCAAATACTTTGTTACACATGCTATCCACACATGGTGATTGTTTGGCAAATTTATCAACTACGCAAATACAAATAGACTTGTGAAGTGCCACCTTAAAACCACAGGGCATTATAAAACGACGCAAACTGGTAACACGTTATTTATAACCAAGTTACGTAATATTCATTAAGAGTAGCTCGGGTATGCTCAAGGAGACCTTTAAGGCCCTGGTCTGCCATATTCCGCCGCCATTTCACACATTTTCCAAGGAAAATATAATATTTCTTATTTTTTATAAATAAAGCCATAGATCGAAAGAATTTTCTCTGAGTGTTCGATCTTTGTATTAATAATTATAACTTGTGGAGTAATTTCACATAAAAATAAGTGAATATCAATTCGATATCGACGGTTTGACCTGCCGCCTCTCAAACAGAGGCCGTGGGTTCGAATCTTTCGAAATCTTCAATACTGCCTCCGTGGCCGAACGGTTACCGTGCCATACTGCCACGCAGAGGTCCCAGGTTCGATTCCCGGGCCGGGAGAAATATTGGTATGGCCTACATTTATTTCTCTCGTGAGTTTGTGAGTAATTTGTGGTTATCTATGTGTGTGTCCATGGCACCCGCGACACAGGGTTTCCCTAGTGCGGGGTTAGGTTGAATGTTTGAATAAGTGTTCAATCTTTGTTATTAATAATTTACCATGAACTTCTTGGCGAAGAGAAACATCATAATGAAACCTGCACGTCGAAGGAGGTTGACAACACTCGGAAAACGTGGAAATTCCCCAACCCGCATTGGGCCAGGATGGCGAACAAAGGCCTAACTAAACCTTCGCCTGAGAGGAGACCCGCGCCCAGCAGTGGGACGTATAAATGGGTTGATGACAATTTGTTATGAATATTCATAAAGCATTTTTCTTAACTTTATTTTCGTCCACGTAGTTGTAGTATAGTTTTTAGGTGCACGGAAGTGGCTCCGCCAGGTTTGCTACTTGCATGTTTTATAATACTCTGTACTTATATTTAATTAAATAAGACACCCCAAATATTCATGCTTTAAAAAAAATACAATATCGTAGTACATGCTGTACCATTAAATAGTTCAATTATTTACTTCAATAATAATATTATACATAAATCAAGATATGGAGGTATAATGGCGTCAATTCTCTAAACATTTTTTGCCCTAAATGTGTATGTAGTGTTGAAGTAGTAGATTTTCCTTCTGATGTCGAGTTTATTTGTCAGTCTATATCTAAAATAGTGTTGTCTAATAAGACCGGTTCTTTATTGCACAGGGAATGTTCCTACTATCATTAAATAGCAAAAATGATAACATTAGATTGTAAACCAATAGAATTAGGTTTATTAAAATTGTGCGCTAAAGAAGTGACGTCATATCTACCTTATTTAGTTATAGCCTACTTAGTTAATTATTATAACTAATAAAATACTGACGTACGCTTTTATAAATACCTGTAAGAAGAAATTCATTAGTAATCTATCAATTGTAGTAGTACTCAGCATTATAACAATAGGCACTGTGAGACTTCTGAACATGTAGTGAACAATTATGACTGTTCAGATCATTTTGACATTACTATGTCATTACTTATAAATAACTTAGACGACGACGTTTTCTTCTACAGATAGCATACTATTCACTAGAATACTAAGTAACGTAACAAGGTCCCAATTTGAAACGATAATGAAAACCCCAAAAGAAAGTTTACAATCAACATTTATACAGAGTCCCAAAAAAATCGCATAAAACAAAATCTTGAAAGAATTTCACAATTTTATCCAATAGATTATAAACAAATAGGAACCGCGAACAGAGTGTGCAAAGCGTGACAAATGATTATTTAATGATTTAAGACACGACTAATGAGTTTAGTATTTTTGATGATAATGTAGTTATATGCCTATCATATTATGAAATTTAAATGTGAATTCTGCAAAGTGATTCTATGTAATTATTTGGTGGTGTTATGTATAGCATACTTATAGATAATAAATATACCTACATAGATTTCAAAACATAGGGCAAATCAAAGATGATGTTCTGCAGTACCACGTTACTTATGCTTTTTGATCAACATACAACGAGTTTACATTAGGTTAAACAATAAGGAGAATTCTGATAAAATCTTGCAATTAAATATAGACGAGAATAGGGAGAAAACGAGAGACCAAAAAGGCGTATGAAAAACTAAATTTACCTACTTCAGATTTACAATCTTTCGCTCAAAAATATTTTGTATTTACGCAGAGAATGAGATATGATGTAACTCTAAGAGTGAGAAATTGCAAGTAATTAAAGTCTACTGGTAAACATTCATTTTCAAAGAAAGAAGAAAGACAGATACAAATAGTACGTCTTTTAGTAAAACATAAACCATCACCAACCCTATAAAACATGATAATGTTAGTCCTCTTTATATTGCATTGTGTTAGTAAATGAGTCCTTGAATTCCCTGGATTAGTACTTTTTGGCATGAACTTGTACCTAAACTTCTAGATTACGGCTTAGGCGTTCAGAACAAATAGTCGTAGTAGGGAGCTTTTAGTACGCCTAAAACGTAATTATAGCCAGTTTTTCAAGCTTAATCCATAATAAAATCCGTTGAATGAGGTCCCAAAATTTACCCAGGATGCAATGAAGCATGCGTAGCGAGTGCTTTACCTGAAACGCGACATTTCTGTCCGCGGTCCCTGGGTACTTTGGTGTCGTCTTCACAATTTGCACGAAGGAATCCGGCACATCTACGGCGACCTCTCTCCCAAGCAGCACTGGCGTCGTATCGAACCCTGGAGGCAACTTATAAGCGGCATATACAGCTTCTCTTATAAGTACTGATTCAGTTCTAGCTGAATAAGTAACTCCCTGGCAGTCCAATAATGAATCTTCGCCATTGGATATCAGCAACTGTATCTTATGTTCGCTCAAAGTGTGAGTGATATTCGAAGCAACAGATTCAGAACGAGAGTCTTCCAGTTTTGCCGTTTCCGAACTACCTTTACTGTTGTAGCTCTTGCCCGAGCCTTCTGAACTTTGTGGCAGAGAGATCAGTTCCATTGTGTGATTCTTGAAATCTGAATTGTCTGAGCTAGGGCCTGAGGTATCCGCGGTGTGGAGAACGGTGCTCTGCTTGCTGGAGAAGCTGGTGGAAGATCCTCCTGAGGAGAGGAGGGGCTCGTCGTCACGGTGGCGGTGGCGGAGGCCTACCTGCGGCGGGCGGGGCGGCGGGTAGCGGGGCGGAGTCTTGTTGCGCGCGATGAAACTATCCGGAACATCCACCGCCATCTCACGGTGGGGGCCTGGAAACGGGAAATAATATTTAGCAATTAATTAACATTGTAGTACATGAAATTTGTAACAATTTATCGATTTTTAGTAGCACTAGAGCTCCTTATGAAAGAGTTCGTTCAGAGAAGTACTATCTCTACCGAGAGGCAATGTCAGCATTACTTCGTTCCGGTTTGGAAGAGGAAAGATCCTGGTGAAATTATATGCACATCGGACTTGTCAACTTATGTCTCAGGGTAACGGGCGCAGTGGTAGTACCCCTAAGATCTTTGCGATTTAAACCTCTGAGTAACACTGCAACTGTTATAGATAGGCTGCTTACCACTAGGCGCACGATTTGTTCGTCCCGTTACATTGTATTATAAAAAAAAGCATGAAATAACCCAGGTATTAACAAACAACTACCAGTTAAACTGATTCCAGTCGTTATGCCCCTTAGCATAAGAAGCTAAATATTCGCTACTTAAGGTCGCAAATCTCTTCAAATACTGCATAGCTCGATAGTTATGATAGATAGTTTAGCAGCTCTTATAACCGTCATGTTGCGTAGATAAGAACTAGGTCATAAAACCGCGTAAACCTAATGGCTAATGGATCGATAATGGTGCATCAAGACTGCATCTACCTACGCGTGAATGTAGGTACAGGTATATAATTAATTTGTTAGTTATTGTTCTATAGTTTTGTCATTGTATATTTGTAAGTTTTAATCATCAGTCTTGTTGGATTTGCAAGTATCTCTATCTAGATGTAGGTACTAAAATAATATAGGTGTCACCATTGACTTACAAATAAATGGACGACGGGTCTAATACAAAAACCACGAAAAAAATGTCCCAAGTCAACCTATTTAAACGTAGTGACATGTAAAGGAATATGAAAAAGCTAAAACGTTGAATTTAAATTGTAATGTCATCGCAGTACTGTCTAATTTTGCTTGCTTCGCTGTCAGTCGAACAAACGAAGACTAAAGCGTGAATGACGCTCTGCATACGATTTTAGTGCCCAATAAGTTCGGACACTTTTTAGCGCGGACCCGACGTCCATATAATTGTAAGTCAATGGGTGTCACAGACATTTTAAATTAAGAGTTAGAGATGGCAGTGGTAAACTAAACAAGAAGGCTTAATAAGAAAAGAAACACAGCTATGAACGTATATATCTAAATTAGAATTTGCAGAGATAGTAATGAAATTAATTTCCATACGCGCCTTAGTAATTACGCGTGGAAATTAAATAGTATGAAAGCCTCGCAGTTAACAGCCTGATGTGCCCAAGTTAATTTACCAGAAAATTCGTTGGCACCGGACCTGCCTAATGCGGGGAAATTCTATTTTCAGCTTATCTGTACGGCTACCGATCCAGGACGACTATAATATATGGGAAGATTAAAAGTAAACTTCATGTAGGCACAGTAAATCACACATTGAAGCATGAACTATATGTACCTAACCTATAACAAATCATACAACGAGTTTACATTAGGTTAAACAATAAGGATAATTCTGATAAAATCTTGCAATTAAATATAGACGAGAATAGGGAGAAAACGAGAGACCAAAAAGGCGTATGAAAAACTAAATTTACCTACTTCAGATTTACAATCTTTCGCTCAAAAATATTTGGTATTTACGCAGAGAATGAGATATGATGTAACTCTAAGAGTGAGAAATTGCAAGTAATTAAAGTCTACTGGCAAACATTCATTTGCAAAGAAAGAAGAAAGACAGATAAAAATAGTACGTCTTTTAGTAAAACATAAACCATCACCAACCCTATAAAACATGGTAATGTTAGTCCTCTTTATATTGCTCTGTGTTTACGAACTGTCCTATGACTTTAGACTAACCTTTTCCATTCTGCATCTTATCCAAGCATGCTTTCTTCCAAGTAGTAATAAGACTAAAAATGTATAGATTGTTACGAGCTCTAAGAATTCTCGTAGGTTTAAATGCAATATATCTCAATCCAGTATTTTCTAATGATAAGTCTTCTATGTGTACTCTTTGAGGCGTGTCCACTACCATTCCCGGTCTAGATGAACTAGAACATTCCACAGAGTGCATGATTTTTTTCTTTGATCGCTTTTCGAACGTGTAGTCCTTATATCTTTACATATGACACATGTATGGGTTAAAGATAATATTCAGCCGTTACCACAACACTGATTTAACTTTTGGATGTCACTTTAATATTTTACTAGACGGTAGTTTGAGGAATGCAATAATCATTCCAAACAGACATCATTGATGCCCCAAATCTTCGGCAAGAAATCAAATAAAGACTTAAACACTTAAAGGTAAAGAATTAAATAAATTTCTTAATAATCCTTCAACAGCGGCAAAACTGTGACGACGCGATCTGAGACTGAACTAGGATCTTCATACAATTTTGTGGTCACGTGGTTCTCCTATTGTAAAACAATGTAGCTTACGTGAGTTTAATAAAAAAGAAGGACAACAATAAAATTATACACGGTTACGTTATGAATAGTGGAGCAGCCAAATGATTGTAATAATACATAGATACTAGAAGCGGCATTTCAGCAGCAGAGAACTTGGCATGCGGTCACTACCCTACTCAGACCATTATTAACTAAGTTGAGATAGGTGCAGAGAAAAGCAAATACCAATATGCAATAAGTAACTATATGCTTTAGTCTTTTATTTTTATGTTATCCTTATTCAAGCAGAAATATATTTATCAAAATGAAATATTTATTGCGTCAAGCAATAAATTTTTTATGAATTATGACAAACATAGCCGTAAAACAAAACAATATAAAACAACTGTTTTGTCATAACCCTCAGATAAACGATATAAATCTCATTAAACGTAATTCAATTAAGATTAATAACTTCCTAGTGTATTTACGTGTCTACTGTCAGCTAAGTCTGTGAAAGACGATGGACAAGGTCGCTGCTTTTTTTGTGATATTTCGCGTAACTTCGCGCCGGTTATTAAATTACGTGCGAATATTGTTTTATTCTTTAAGACTGTGTAAGGTTTCCTTAGCGTCACTGCGACTTCTACAAAACGTACCCAGTTTTTTACCTGTCTAAGCCGCGAATTACAAGAATTGTAAAAATTGTAAAATTATGTCTAAGCACCTCCTTGATACGTAGGTATCCGAACCTTTAACAACAGTTTACGGGTGCTGGTGAAATTACAGGCACACTTTTGTCTCAGGGTGACGGGCATAGTGGCAGTGCCCCTCAGATCTTTGTGATTTAAAGCTCTGAATGGGACTGCAATTGCTATGGACGAGTGTGTCGCTTAATACCAGATGCACGACTTGTTCGTTAAGACACTAATTTGGCATAAAAAAATCATGAAACAAAGACGATAACTAATTTTTAACGTTGATGACCAAATTGAGACCATCCTAAACAAGGGCCAGGTCAAGATTACCCTTAAACCGACGAGTGTGTATGAAAGCACTGATGGATGTTGATGAGGCGAAAGATGTGTGTCAGGACCGTAGCAAGTGGAAGACTGTTTCTGACTACCCCAATGAGAAAAAGGCGTGAAGTATGTGAATATATGTATGTAACTTTGATGAAAGAGATCGAAAAAGCTGACCCCCCTGCTATGCTATGTGTCCTTTATACAGCAGCTGTACCTTTTTTCGTACTGCCCGTATATGAATTGCGAGATCTTTGCGCACGTTTCGTGTGTTACGCTTCAAATTATCGCTATCCCAGCGACTAAAATAAACAGATGATAATGGTAATAACGACTACAAACCACGACTTGCTCGCCACCACTCCATGTCATAAAAAATAATACTGACCGGTGTCTGAGGTGAGCGAGAGCATGGTGAGCATGTCTTTGTCGTCATCCGGCGGCGGCCGCTTCTCTTCCTCTGCACCCAGCACTACTATGCTAGAACCTGAGCGTCTCCGGGGCCTGGAAATACAAATTAAACAAAAGGTTAATTTTAATATATCTATACCTCTGACACGCAGAGACGATAAAAATTTGGAGAAACTGATCGTATAGTTGGTAACACGGAATGGATCGACCAAGTGAGATCATCGTCCATCAAATTTTGCGCAGTAGTTAGAGACGCGCTGGATAGAAACAGATGGAGGCAGATCACCCGATTCAGAGGTAAGCACGAAGCTGACCACCCTGGCCCGTGAGAGATACCTCACACACACCACAGCAAAAATTTTTTTAAGACGGTCAGTTTCACAAAAACATGCCAAATTCTAATAGTAAAGAAGGCACCACCAAATGTACTTTTTGTTCGTACTGTCAATTGGTTTCTTATTGGTTTTCTGGAACTGATGGGAATAATTATGACATGTTAAGATTACACATGTTCCACGTGGAATTGAGTACATGGGAACTACTGGGAATAAAGTTGGAGAATTTTTTACATTAGGTATTTCTTTTATTAGCATTGGATACGTAATTTTTCACAACTGTATTTTACAACGGTTTTACGATGTGATATAATCTAAACGAAATCTCAAGAATCCGTTACACAAACGGTTACAGGTTGAGTCACGTGGATGCGCATGGATGCGCCGCGCAAGTGGATGCGCCACGCGCCGTCTGTCCCGACGGAAGTTCCTCAAGGGTGCAAAGACAAAGGGGACTTCATAACAAGTTGAAAAATTGTCAAAACACAGTAACAAGTACTTTTATACGTCAGTAATTAAATACGATACGATAACTCGCATCCTTGGTATAAATAAGGCCGCTTCAACAAAATGGAAGACCATAATACAAATTTATAAATATAATTTATAAGAGTTTTTTGAGTATAAATCGATAAATATATAAATAAATAGTGATAATATATAATGAAAATAAATAATGTAACTACGTTGTCATTTAAGTTGCAGTGCCCTTACAGGGCTTATGTTGGCTCATTTAATAACTTTAAAACCTTTTTCTGTATCACGTAATGCAATAAATGATGTATGACTAAATATTTTTGTACCAAGAAATGAATGAATAAATGAACGAATGAAATATTCTTTATTGCACATTAAAAATTACAATGACAACACAGAACAACGCAAGAGTAGATAACTAAATTAATTGAATTGGATGTTAGAATTGTGTTAACCTTTCAGAATCTGATCCAGACATTTGGAGATGCTGCAACAAAAACCACTTTAAAGTAGGTAATTAATGCAATATTAAGGCCTTGTGACGATATCAGTAAGTCATGCCCCAATTGTTATGGACAGGCGTGACGCTTACCACTTGGCGTGCGACTTGCTCGTCTCGTCAACTGGTCTCTCAAAATAAATCCAAAGTTAGCGATAACTCGCATCCTTGGTATAAATAAGGCCGCTTCTCGCTAAGAAGAGATATATTCTTAATTCCAAATCCGAAAAATGACTGTCCGAAATGTCACAGAGATCATTGTATCTATAGGTGTAGAAGCGATATTAGTTTTTTCAAAGGTCAAAGGTTTCAAACTTATAACTCCCCGCGATTAATTGCTTGCTTATGTACTTTTAATATTCTGTTCAGAAAACAGTCGAGTAAAATATTCAAAATTTCAAATTCTCCCTTGCATAGTAGTTGGGTAAGACAAACAGTGTTATGTTTACAGAGCGAGCCGCTCGCCACGCCCCTGTTTTATTTGTAATAACAACCATTCACTCGGAACGAATGAACGAGCGGGAGAATAATTCTATTTTAATATTACAGTAGAATACGTTTCATAAATATTGCCCTCGGGCTATAGAAGTGTTTAGTATAGTATGCGGAGTTCCACATATTTCAGTCATTCTCGAACTTCACCACCGCATTTCCGTGGCAATTTTTATTATTTGATTTTTAATTCAGGACTTAATCACGTATAAAACATATTTTATTTACCTCGACGTTTCGGACATATTGCAATGTCCATGGTCTCGAAGGGACTGAAGAAGCGGGTGTCAGCATCTTCTAGCCGTGGGAATTTTTCTAACTACCCGCACTTGATCTTCATTATCTATTTGTGCACTAGGGCTCTCACTAGACCGAAACACAACACTCTCTACATCCGGCGACTTGTCGTGCGATACTTGATATCGTTTACATTTGCTGATAACTGGATCCCATGACGATGAAAGCTTAAAACCGTCTTCTCGGTTGAAATTACAGTGTTTTTTTAATTTCAATAGCTTCACGTACGATTCTACTTTAGTGATGACGTTCTGTACAAAGGATCTTGGGATTATGAAGCTAAACCCAGTGGTTTGGTCGTGATTCCAGCAAATGCTCGGCTATTGCAGACTTATTGAGCTGACGGTTTTATTATTCAAATATTTGGTTTTTTATCGTACTATATTATTTAATATTCGAGTATTGTATCGTGAAATATTATTTGACAATTACACGATAATATATCTGAATAATTATATAATAAAAATTGCCACCGTAATTAGGTAGTGAACGTTAGTCAGAGAATGACCGATTTGAACTCTATCCGCCACTTTGACTTTGTACGTTTTGTATGGTCGTGTCAATTATCTAAAATCATGGTTTATTTTGCTACTGTGGAGTGCAAAAATTATAGTTGCACATGTAATATTATCTGTGGTGTATTTCATGTCATTGTTACAGTTATTTTACGTAATTTTAATGAAATTTTTTATTTTCTGTTTTGTTTTATTTTTTATTATAATGTCAAGTGATGCCAAGCTTCACGCCTGTCCATAACAGTTACAGTGCCACTCAGAGCTTTAAATCGCAGAGAACTAAGGGGCACTGCCTGAGACATAAGTTGACAAGTCCCATATACCTGTAATGTCAACAGTTTGTCGTCATAGATTTGTTGTAAGTAACGAAATAAAAGTAATACCGCTTTTTGGAGTCTGTCTCCGGATCATCGGAATAGGATCCGTCAATATGTAGCTCGATAAAATGCTGCCATTCGTACATATCGAGATCTCAAGTTATCACGATTCTTCTGCCGTCCGCTGACTAACAAACGCTAACGCGGCTAAGGGACAAAATCTTTTTTTGAGATATCATAAAACGCCATTACCCAGTTATAGAACATTGAAATTATTTAATGATAATTCAGCTATGCATCGTTAAGGTAAGTTCCGATAAGTTAACTAATTAACAAAAAAGATGAACGCTGTGAGTTAAATGTAGTAAATTAGAAGCAATATAAAATGGTGCGCGTATTATGCGTGTTTTGGGTGTGTGTATTGATATAAGTCGGTGATAGTTTGCCAGTCCCAAGCTTGTTCTATTAGATAGGAATAAGTGAAATTTCTGTTGATTCTTAGTCCAAGTTGATCAACCAACCAAGCAGTCTTTTGCATTCAAATTTATTTATAGAGGGCTGTGTTTGTTAATTTTATTATATAAATACTTTGAAAGAAAACAAACAGTATACCTGAGAACTTGGTATTAAACTAATAATAATTAATGAAATGAAAACGTAACAAGGAAATGTAACCCAAATTATTATTTAAACATACAAAATCTATGTTGCAAAGTAGGACACACAACTATTAACAATCGAAGTCCCGCTGATAGTGTTTGCAAAGCTGTCATCCAGTTCCGGCGGGTGCGGCGACGACAACACAAAGGACAGCACGCGTCTGTTACGGACACGACGCGGATTGTACTAGAAAATAGTATCACCGACGCCCGTAAGCATTAAGGGGTTAATTTGTTTCAGGCATATCCGAATAAATATAACATTCGGTTACACAGGCCAACCGGATCGAAAGATTTTTTTTATTAAAAATTTAAAAAATATGTTTTTATTTTTAAAAAATATGGTTTTTTTTATAATATCAAGTGACGGAACGAACTAGTCGTGCGCCTGATGGTAAGCTACACGCCTGTCCGAAACATTTGCAGTGCAGAGCTTTAAATCGCAAAGATCTGAGGGGCACTGCCACTGCGCCCGTCACCCTGAGACATAAGTTGACAAGTCCCATGTGCATGTAATTTCACCAGCACCCTTACCCTTCGAAACCGGAACACGGTAATGCTGACATTACCGCTTGACGGCAGAAATAGGTAAGGTGGCAGTACTTCCCTGCACGAACTGTTTGACAAGGAGACACTATTTGTTATTAATAATTATAAATGAAGAAATACTAGAAATAGTTTAATTTTCTATGTATAATGAATACCTAAGTACTCGATCAGAAATCAGAAACGTTTATTGTACGAATTGGTAAAAATACAGGTGTTACTTCCAAGTGATTAGATCCACAACTTAACATCACAATTCCATTAAATATTATTACAAATTAAATGTCAAAAATTTAAAATATCATTAAGTTAATTATACAATTGTCAAATATTTGATATCTTTATAAAAAATTTGTTAACTAAAAAAAAAACTTAACTGTCAATTAACCATTTTTTTAAACCAACTTCAAACGTATCACCATTTAAACATTTTATTTCCATTGGAAGTCTGTTATAAATTCTGCTGGTGCTGCTGTCAAAGATCGTGCTGTGTATTCTATGGAGGACATGACGGTCCTTGTTGCTGACGTTAACGGAGTGGGAGTGTACATGAGATATTTTAGTAAAGAAAGTTACTGTGATTACGTACAAAAAGACATATTTCCAAAATATATATCCCTGTTACAAGTCAGGAAACCCTTTTCTTTGTACAGACTTTTTAAAGAATAATCACTGGGTTTGCAATAGATTATGCGTAAGCATCGTTTTTGTATTGTGAATATTTTAACCGCATTGACAGAGTTTCCCCAAAAAATTACACCATTTTAAACAATAATTCGCAAGATAAAAATAATACTGTCACTGAACAAAAATCTCGCGTATTCAAACTTATGTTCAGAGTTATTTACAACTTTTTCCCGAAAGTTAAGTTATTGGTTTAGCGACAGTATTGATTTTAGCGTGCGAATTATAAACATTTCGCAGAAGGTATATAACTAGCAATTTACAGGAAAGAA